CCGCTCTTCTGCTTGTACTATGTATGGTGGGAGTAGCAGGTTCTGCTGATCATGAAGTGGCTGGTAAAAAGTGTGCCAGCAGTAAGCAGCCTTCCCACACTTGGCAAGGTCAGAGGGTGAAGTAAGGAACAGGTGGTCTGGCCTGGAAAAAGAAGTAAACAAGGAGGAGATAAAGTCTGAACTTTTCTCTAGACCTGGATAGTGTTCCTCAAGGCTATGAGTGAAATTTGGCAACTTTAACATTAGCAGAAGCCAAGAATGAAATGACCGCAAAGATCATCCTTTCGGTACTGGAGATGACTCTTCAAATCAGGGTTGAAGGATACTGGCAGGGTTATGCGTGTAAGCTTGTGGTATTGCTTTCTGCATAGTTTGTATTTTCTGGACGAACAGAAGATTTCGGTTTCCAAGGCTGGCAGCCAGCTCCTCACAGCAGTAGTGGATTAGCATGAAAACAAAGATGCACTGTGCTGTGGATGTGCTTGTACTGTTCTATAAATTGTAGCATAAGTCAGTAGGAAAATAGAGCATGTAAGAACTTTAATGAAACTATAGACATAGAAAAATGTTCATAAGCATTCTATTTATTGCAATTAGTAATAGCATGGGTAAAATAATAAAAATAATTAGTTCTAACAAGGATGTATTATTTACAACTCAGTGGTGTTGTTAAGGCAGTTTACATTTTAAACAAGCTTTAATTGCATCCATAACTATAAAAGAAACTTTCCAAGCCATTAAAAATAGTATTTTCTTTCCTTGTTCTATGGCCTCTGCCTGTAGGCCGTAGATATTAAAAATAACTCTGAATTATGTCCACAAAATGGAGGCCAATATATATCACGAAGAATATGCTTCCAAAGAAGACAGATGCATAATAAAGAAACAAGACAATCCTGTACGTGCTGAAGCTTCTTCATATTTTCTTTTTTTAGGAGCAGCTTCAGGTTGAATGCCTGCCCATATCTGAATAGGCCTGAATTGAGATCAAACATAAATAAAGCCAGATGTTTGTAGTGAAATCTGTATGAGAAAGGAAAGGCCTTGGTCTTCTTGATGAATGTAGGTGGAACAGGCCATGGAAATTGTGTCTATACTTTTGAAAGCATATATACATACTAGGGCTGTTCATTTTACCTGGTAAGCACAAATAGAAATCAGTTTTTTAAAAATCTGGTTGTTTTTTCCTTCTGCACAATGTATTCTACTGGCAGTGGTCATCCCCTCAGTAAGGTGCAGATACACAGCTATGGATTTGGCAATTGGCACAAGGGAAGGGCCAGGACCTCCAGGGCACGTGGGTTCTGTTTATAGTTAAATAGTCCTTATGCTCAAATTTTTTTTGAGTCATGACTCACATGATTTAGGATGCCAGTACAGATTCATGTACGTATGTTATGACCTAAATCTCATTTACTATATATAATAAAGCAAAACTGAAACAACGTAACATGGGATTTTTATAGTCCTAGTGATTTCTATGTTGCAATACAAATCTCCACAGGCAGAAATTCTGTCTTGGGTAAATTTAGAAAACAGGTTTTAAAAAAATTGCAAATGCAAAACATAGGCTGACTATTTCATTATGAAATGTGTGGTAATTTTTTAACATTTTTGTGTTTAAGGGATTACTTCATGTCAAAAAGTTAGCAAATCATAGAAGGCCCATTTAAAGCACTGCATACTGTCTATGGTCCTTAATTCAGGGCTCATGTGATGTTTGTATGTTGTGGGTTGCTGTCTGCACTGGCGTGCACAGGAACACTAATATACTGTTTAATGAAGCTGGGATTTACTCCTAACTCGGTGATTTCCTGTGGCTAGTGTCAAAACCATATCTCTCTGTCTTACTTAAGTAATTTTTCTAGTAAGTAATATGTGTGATGCTATAGGAATTATCTCTTTCAGTGTAAACCATTGGCTTTTTCTTGAAGGGTTTGGTCAGACTTTGTTTTGATGGGGAAAAAGTTATTTGAAAATAGTAGTAGAATGTTGAAAAGAGAGCTACTGGACACCTACTGCTATCTTTTATTACTTTTCAAAATAATAACACCGTATATCTCCTGCTATGAATAACAAAAATTAAAATAGCCTCCAAAATCAAATAATGTGTGGATTAAACCTGGAGAAGGTGTTCCCTCTGATGAGAAGCACTGTGGAATTTCTAATGTGGCAAATCCTACTTTAATACTGTTCTTTAAAGCTAGGTCCTGCCACTAATTAAATCAGTAGATAATCCTGAAAAAATTGAAGAAGGGCTGAACACTGACTACAAATCTAGGAAGCAAATTAAGTAACATTCCACAGGCAACCTGAATGCACCTTTTCTGAGATACCCTGATAGAAAAAAAAGGTTTTTAGAGAAGTGTGTTTTTAATACTACTGCAATACACATTCACAGTTGCAATACAGTTTCTCAGGTGCCTTTCAAAACATTCACTTTCTGCAGAATTCCAGTTCTTGGTCCAAAGCTATCAAATTCAATCACATTGCATCTCTTAATAATTATTATTTTATTTGCAGTGGTATTTAGTTTGTAAGAACATTGAAATTCCCATGTTACTTTAAACTCAGTTAAAAATCTTCTTTCTGATAGTTTGTAGTACTATGTGTTTAAAAAAGTGCAAGAAATATTTTGAAGCTTCTGTTATTTGTCCTAATTAATCTGTAGTTCTTGCTAAATAATAATTAAGGTTTATTTAAAGAAAGATTTTCCCTAATGACGAGTCATTTCACATGAGGTTTGTCATATGGAAAGTGTTTTTTTTACAGCTGTTTCATCACAGAAAACACACTTATGCGATTTGAGATTGCGTTTCTTATGTTAACATCTTAAACATCGCCAGGGCTTATCCTCTGTGATAAAATGAAGCTTCATGTCCCCAGATGGCCGTTTTACAGAGTAAGTTAAGCTGAGGAGAAAGAAAGGCAAGTGGCTTTCCCGGGGAGAGGAATGTCCTTACTACTGGTCAAGTGCTCTCTCCAGGACAGAGCTCTCTAGGAGCTGGAGCTCTTTGGTATGGCTAAGCGGCTGTGTACTGTTTTAGCTTTTACCGTTACTTCTGAATGTCCTCACCTGGGCAAACCATGAGTTTTAGAAGTTCTAAATAGCCATTTTTGTTCCGATTCCACACTGCTGTTATAGGAGTGCCTAAAGAGATGGCTTCACATACCAGAAAGAGTGAAACAGGACTAAACTGATCCTGTGCGCTCCATGGCAGTTTGGATGTCCACTCTGCGGTGAAAAGGCTGTACATGAATAGCGCGTTGTTCTTGGACGTTGTCAGGGCATGTAGCAAGAGCTGATGGCTGGTGGCCTGAGGGCTGTGTGGTGGCGTAGAGCCAGGGGTCCAGCCTGACAACATGGCTGGTCAGGCAGAGGCCCATCCCACCACCCCCAGCAAGGCGGGAGAGCAGGCTGGAGCAGGTAAGTGGGGGTAACCTGGAGTCCAGGGCATCAGGCAAGGTCATGGTGGTGGGGCAGGTCAAGACAGGAACACACGTCAGGTTTAGGCTGGATGATGGTCAACAGGGTCAGGTACAGCGCAGTGATTGCCAGGCAGGTCCTCAGTGAGGAGGCAAATCCAAGGTCAAGCTGGGAAGTCACCCGGTGGGTCCCGGTCCAGGGATGTTATGAGAATTTATATGTGTGTACCTCAGAATGTAGACACGAAGGATCCTGTTGGGTGCACCCTTCATTGCTCATGTAACAACAGCTCAGAGTTGGAAGCCTAAGTCTAGGTGCTTCTATTCCATTTTTGCATAGGCATATTCTGTTTTGAATAGTAACCAACATTTACTGTGTCAGAGCAGTGATAGCAATCTGGCCAGTCATGCAGAGAAAACATGGTCAGGTCAATCAGTAAATAAAAAAATAAATTGATCCTAGTGTTGAAAATGGGACTTGGGTGGAGAAACCTCCCAAACAATGGTTTCCTTTAGCAGTGGACGGGCTGAATCCGACTGGTTGCTTTCTGACCTGCAAGTTCTCTAGATTCCAATCTGACTTACACTGTGACTATTTTAAAGTAATAAAGTATTGCCACTCTTCTCAGTCCTTTCAAAGAACACCTGGAGATGCTCAAGAGGCACACCTTGTGGCCATTTCATGTCTGCTACCCTCTTCAGATTTCTGTAGTGCTGCCATCATGCATTACAACACAATATTAGATTCTAGCACTACTCCTCAGTTCACCTTAACAGGCTCTTTTGTCTGAGCTGTGTTTGGACTCATGCAGTGTAACTCCATGAAGGTGAAAGAGATTTTATTTCTGGCATGACCTTTCACTTTCTGATGAATTATTATGTCTTAACTACTTAAGCTTGTACATACATATCAAACACTCAGTTGACATAATGGTTCATTTGTACTCTCTGTTATAAATTACATTACCAACAGCTTAGCAATATAATTAATTTTTAGCATTACCAACTCTAAATTTTCTCCTTGATCTTTTCATTGTATTAATACTTTGATGGTTTTGGAACACCTTTGCATGTGTTTCTGAAGGAAGGGAGAATGTCTCAATGTATAGTATTTAAAATCTAGCCTCACTGGAAATCAATGACAAATTCCTATTAATTCAAATCTCCTATTTGAAAGAATGTATCTGCAAGTGTATTTGCTTTATTTTCTCAGAATTTTAAGTGAACTCTTATCTCTATTGAATTCCAAATCTGAGTTCTTTTTGAGATTAGTGAAGTCAGAATTTCACTTTATAAATTTTGTGGTAATCTGTTTATGGTGTTTTGATAGAAGATACAGGGTTTATATTTAATTTATATTTATTTTAGATTAAGAAAGCCAACAGGAATTGCAGAATAATACTGCCCTTTCATTTGACTTGGTTTGGTAGTTTTGTTATAACTGAACCAATTAAAAGATTAGCAAATACTCTTTTCTTTTCTTATTTTTGTTTGCTATATTTTTATATTTATTACTTTACTTTGGTAATCTGATTAATTGAAAAATTGTCACAAATGAAGTTTGATGTGATTTTGTGCCAAAACAGTTTTTGATATATATATACCCGTTACAACTCCCACTGTGCTTATCTGTTTTTATCATTACTTTGGCAGATTGATGAAATAACATATCATGGGAGCATGTAGATTTTTTTTCGTAATTGAAGGGCTATTTATAAATGTGGGCTGCTGTTGCAGTTGTGAGCAGGCACAAAGGCTGGCAGTAATCAAGCTTTCGGAGGAGGGCTTGGTAGGGTATACCATGAGTGGGTCTTGACATGCAGAATTGGTCATGGGGTCATTTCTCCTAATTGGGAACTGCCCACTTGCTAGCATTTGTCAACAGGAAAATGCCAAGCAAGTAGGGTTCCCATAAAATGAACATTATAAGCTTTTGGAAAGGAAAAAGAAAGCTTTATGTTGTTTGGTTTTTTTTTTAATTATTATTATTCTTTTCTAAGATTAGTATTATTGAAATTCTAGCAAGTGGCACTTTCATTCCTTTCCCCATCCCTTTTCTTTCTTTCTTTCTGTGTTGACAGGGTAGAGACAGAAAGGTTTGTCGTGTACTTTGGGTAAGTGCAGTGAACTGTGGTTTTTCTTCAGTGAATCAATGCTTTGTTTTACAAGTGGTTGGTTTGGACAGAATCTGTCTTTATCATTTCTTTTTCTCTCAGGAATCACGTCTTCTGCATCTCTTCAGACAATGCATGCTTGCTCTTTGGTGTTTAATTTGGTGGCATGAGGTTCTGGCTTGAAGGCATTTCTTTATTTAGGATCTGTGAATGATGAAAGTTATGAATGCATGGCTCAGTGTTTGATATTTGAGCGTTTGATGCAATAATGGATTAGTTGTTTTAAACTGCCACAAATACGATTTGCACCAACTAAATGACTGAACCAACTAGAATTATAGAGAAGATGTTTTCTGTGGTCAAAGATGAGTGCTTATCTTGGTTTTGGATAACATTTAACATTTACTTTATGTTAACACAAGTTATTGTGTCTGCTGACATATTTTTTTAATGTGCAATAAACATGACATGTTACCTATTAAATAGATATTTCCTGTTTTGCATCTTATATCCTGCCTGTAGACGTTTCTACAAGATACGTTGCTATTTATTTTTTTGTGGGGGAGTGTTCCAGTAATTTATGGATTGTTTGTGGAAACAGTTCTGGAATTGATTTCAAATATTGGATACAATAGATCACATTTCTTTCTACATGAAATAGTGTTTGATGAATTCTGGGTTGTAGTACGGTGAAACCATAAAAATATTTACAACACATTGGACCAAGATTTCATTGAAATTTTCTTCCAGGAAACATGGAAGATGCACAGGAACCTAAATACATAAAACACCATGTAATAAGCTATATCCAAACGGTCAGTCTAAAGGTGCATTCTTGATGCATCCTTCAGTAGTACGTTTTCTGACATTTTTTATGTAATGAACTTAAAACAGTGTCATTGAAAATTACCACATCTGAGGAAATGAATGCAAGAAATGTGCAAGGTTTCCTCCTCTTGTCAGATATGGCCCATTCGTGTCCATGAGTAAGACCGAGATGGTGTAGCAGTAGCCCAGGGAGACAAATCCTCCCCCAAGAGGAGCAGTATTTGATCATGCCTGCACCATTCACCGTATGCTTTTAGGTAGCAGGTTTGTGAGTAACGGAGGAGAAAGGGAATGAGTCTGAGCTACTGAGAGTAGGTCCAACACTTACTAGAGCCAAACTGGGATCCTACAGGTAGTGTCCACATCTTACAGAAGGCAGGCTGACACACAAGTGAGGGTGAAATCCACAATATTGAGGGGCAAGCCTCTTCCTATTTGCAGCAGAAGAGGGTAAGAATATGTAGTTGTCAAGGTAATTTCTATTTGTTTACATGATTTTGGATTATCCTTTATGATTTGATCCAAATACAAAGTAATACTGAATGTAACTCTAACTTTTTACTGCACAATTCTGTTTCTTTTCCTGTGTGTTGTGTGCATGCATCCCTAAAAAAATCCAACTATAAAAACTAATCAGAAAACAAAGTTACTTCAGAAGCAAACTTTTTTTTTTTTACAAATGGATAAAATGTACCAATGTGTCTTTCTTAATTTATTTTATTCTTTGCAGGTAATAGTTTGTTTTCATAATTTATTCATAAAATTAATCAGTAGTCTGATGTCCTTTGCATAGGTGTGGATTTACTTGCCAAACAGAATTGTCACTCAAAAAACCCTCTTGCCTTCCTTTGTCAGGGTCAGTGTGGAAAATCAAATACTGAAATACGGGTTTACTACTTGTGAAATTATTATTTTGGAAAATGATGATCCTGGAGGAGTGTTTGAATTTTCTCCCTCTTCCAGAGGTCCCTACAGTATCAAGGTAGCTATCTGAATCATTTCTCTCGGTCATTATGGACAACTTAGTGTAAGCAGAGTGCTAGAAAAAAGCTGGATTTTCTTTTTTACAGGAAGGGGAGTCTGTCGAACTGCAGATTGTCCGCAGCAGAGGAAGTCTCGTCAGGCAGTTTCTACGCTACACTGTAGAACCAAGAGACAATAATGAGTTTTATGGAAGCACAGGAATTCTGGAGTTTAAGCCTGGTGAAAGAGAGATCATAATTACTCTTCTGACAAGGATGGATGGCATTCCAGAGGTAAAAAATGATATTTTTCTCCTTCAAATTGTGTTCACAGGCATATTAGTTTGTCAGTTATTAAAATATAGGCAAATATGTAGGAGCAGAACAAGTGTGTAATGGCTTTTCTCCAGAATGTCTTCCCAGCCTCCAAACCAGGGATGCCTGGATAAATAGGAGGTGTCTTTGGGTTTAATAGTCCCCAGTGGAGGACTTAAATTGAATTCAATTCAATTTCTGTGAATTGAAACAGTTACGCTTTGAATTCATGCAAGTTTTTAGCATCCATGACATTCTGTGGTATAGAATGCCGTTGTTTAACTGAACTCTGTGGGAAGAACCACTTCCTTTTTGTTTTGTTTTCTAGTAATCGTCTGCTAGCTTCACTCAGTGCTCCCCCGTCTGGACTAATATTGGCCTTATAGATACATAGATGCAATACTTGTTTTAATGTTCCTTGAAGCATTATCTGTGAGCTGCTTTTTTCAAAAAATACATGAAGTACAAAGTCCCGTTGGATTAAAAAAGCAAGCAAGTTCTTTCTAAATTACTGTGCTGTCAATGGTTTTAAAATCTTTGCTTTTCCTCTTACAAAGCCAGAAACATTAATAAATCTTATAGAAAAGAAAACTTACCTTTCAGGGAGCATTATAAAGACATTTGTACTAGTGAATTAATGTGATTCTAAGTTAAGTACACAAAATAAGTCCGTGCCTATAATAATGGTAGATTTTTGGAGCGAATTGTCCTATCAGAGATAGAAATTTCTAATTATTTCTTTGTTCTGATGGCAATGCACAAACACATTGTGCATGGAGAAAGTGTCTGTGGTTTCCTTTTGTTTAAATTTATATCTCTTTCTGCCTGGCTAGGGACTGTGGATGTTTGCCCATTTGTTTGGAATGTGAATACTGAATATGTATTTTTATTCTGACTGAGTTTCCCTCTTCTAGCTGGACGAGATATATTCAGTGGTACTCAGTGGCTACAGTGAAATGCCAGGCAAGCTGGGGAATGCCACAGTGGTCAATATAACCATTTTGAAGAATGATGATCCACATGGTGTGATTCAGTTTCTACCTGATGAATTATCAGTAACAATAAAGGAAAGTAAAGGAGAAATCATCTACGCTGGTAATTCTTTTTTATTAGAGTTACTGCTTTATCTGCTGTCTGCCCCTGCAAGGCTTCTTTTCCCCATTTCACCTTTCTAGGACAATGTCTGACTCAAGTCTCCACTCAGGAGTTTCCAGAGTGGTACAGTGCCAGCAAGACGAGCAGTGGAGACTGAAGTGGAGAAGGATGGGCCTGGAAAGCCAGAGGGATCAATCCAATTAAAAAATGGCTAGAGAATATGCCAGACAGGAGGGACGGAGTATTGATGTATGTGCAAAGTGCAACCTGGAGGTAGTAGCTCTGTTTGTGGAGCGTGAAGAATAGGGTGCTGTGTGAGAGAAGAATAGAGCTAAATCTTCATACGGGTGACTTCCATTTATCTCTATTCAATTATCAAGTACATTTACAGGCGAAAAATAACAAATTTGAGCAAGTTTAAACTGCTTTAATGGTCTGTCTTTGTGTATCCTTTCGTGTGGTGCTCTCACAAATTACTAGTTTTGCAAGAAGTGGATTTGCGTATTATTTCCTTTCCTTCTTCTTTGTTTCAGCTTTGATGACCTTTTTCTTTTTGATTCGTGTTGTTCTGACTGTATATGTTTGCATTTTTTAGCTGCTTACAGAGTTGTAAGAAACCAAGGAAACTATGGCAATGTTAGTGTATCTTGGGTTGTTGATCCAGCATGTACCAATGACATCTATCCAGAACAAGGGACTGTTTTCTTTGATAATCTGGAGTTTTCAAAAAATATCACCATTTACTCACTGCCAGATGAGGTAAACATTTTTACAGTGTTTTTGTGTGGGTATATGGGACAAAGAGTAAGTGCTAAAACATTACAATTTAAGAAGAAGAAATGTCTGTTTTTTAACAGCCTGATAACTATTTGTAGAAAAAATCAAAATACTTGGGTAAAACAGATTACTTCAGCAAATCATAAAAGAATTTGAGAAGCTGTGCATATGTATAAATAAAAAATGTTAGAAGCTGAGAGTAATTGAACATGGTTAAATTACAGAAAAGTTCATTTGAATAA